CAACTCGGGGTCTACCAGTAGGACTGAGCAAGATCGAGCAGGTGAGTAGAGAGCCCCAGATGGAGACATGAGGGGACTATAATGGGACAGAAAGAGAGAAAGACAACAGGGCCCCGGGGAGACTTAAGCCCCAAAAGCAACCCCGGATGAAAAGAGGAGGCCCTAGAAAGGCCGAGAAGAAAATCTGCAAGGCCTCCCAGGAAAGAGGGCCAGAGCGGGGCTGCCAGGAAAATGCAGGACACCCTCGTAAACTTGGACATCAGACAGACAACAAGCAACTTTTGTAATAAGCAGGTCCCAAATATGGCATCACCTGTTTCAGCGCATGGGACATGCTTGGGCTAAGAATTTACTTATTGTTTATCTGACACTCAAATTCAGCTGGGCATCCTGTGTTTCTATTTGCTAAATCTAGCAATGCTAGGCCAGATGCCTGGCTCATCCTCCAGCACTTTGCCCTCAGTCGTCTCAGATACTTAAGAGATCCTACAATAGCCGAAACCAGTTTGGCTCAATGGATAGAGCGTTGGCTTGGGGACTGAGAGGTCCCGGGTTCAATTACGGTCAAGGGCATGTACCTTGGTTGTGGACATATCCCCGGTAGGGGGTGTGCAAGAGGCAGCTGATCGATGACTCTCTCTCATCGATGTTTCTAGCTCTCTATCTCTCTCCCTTCCTCTCTGTACAAAACCAATAAAAATATATTTTTTTAAAAAAAAGAGAGATCCTACAATACCTGGTATCTGGATGGACAGGGCCAAGGATGGATTAGGATTCTTTGCTTCACAAATTTATCCCTTCACTGTTGAGGCCCTAGAAATAGCAAGCTCCCTTAACCGTCTTAACATAGAAATTAATTTTTTGAATTTAAATTTGCAGCCCCACTGTTGAAGGAGCCCACGTGTCCAAGGTTAAGGCCACACAGGCCACAGCCCCGAAAGCTGTGGTTCTGCTGGCTTCCGGGAGCAGGAGAGGGGAGTAAGCCATACCAAGATCTCCGGCAGACAGAACCGTCTGGTTGATAAAGGCCAAACCCCATGTCTCTCCCCCCAGACCTCAGCTTCAGAACAGCCCCAACACCTTCTGCGCAGGCTGCCCTGGCCGTTTGCACAAAGGACTGCGGATTTCTCTGAAAGCAGAGACCTAAAAAAAGGGCTTTGTCTATGTAAAACCAAACACAATTCTCTCGCCTCAGCCCTAACCTGATTAAAAGCTGGAATCATTTGTTTTGTTTTGAGAAGTGCCAGGGTTTATGCTCGAGGTCCCCCCTTCCCTCCTCACTACTTCCAGCTGCTGAGGCACATCAGTGTGAGAGACCACACACCAGCAGGCCCAGCGTGCAGAGGCCTGGTGGAGATTAAACTCCAGGCTCTGGGGAGGGTCTTCCCCGCCTCCCCCCCACTCCTGTGCATAAGGGGAGCTGAGTACAGAGAGCAGAGTTCAAGGACAGAGCCCACCCTGGATCCCATTCACCGCAGCCAAGCCTCGTCCATCTAAGATCAGACAAGGAACGGCCAAAGGCAAGTCCCAGGGACAAATGAGAACACTGTGTAGTGCAGGTGGCCAAAAGGCCTTTCCCCTCAACTTTTTATTTTTTTAATATAACTAAATTTATTTACCATGTAACAAACTTCATTTGACAGGAAACCTGGGGGCAGAGAGTGTGGGTTTTCATCCCAGCTCCACCAGCTAACTGAGCAACCTGGAACCATTTTGCCTCACTGTGCCAGTCTGCCTGGCTTTCCAACCAGGGAGGGCACAGATCAAGACTGAAACCAGCTGAAGCCGGCTTGGCTCAGTGGATAGAGCGTCGGTCTGCGGACTGAAAGGTCCCAGGTTCGATTCCGGTCAAGGGCATGTACATTGGTTGCAGGCACATCTCCTGTAGGGGGTGTGCAAGAGGCAGCTGGCCGATGTTTCCCTCTCATTGACGTTTCTAGCTCTCTATCTCTCTCCCTTCCTCTCTGTTAAAAACCAATAAAATATATTAAAAAAAAAAAAAAAAAAAAAAGACTAAAACCAGACCAAGTGTGCAGCTGGGTTACTTTCATGGTCCCATGTAGGACCACCTGAAGCAGTGTGCTTGTTTGCTCATTCTGTTTATTGTTGACCTCACCCAGCAGAATGTTGGAAGCTTGGTGCTTGGAGACCTGGTGGCCAGCACAGGGCCAGCCATCAATCAAAGTCAGGGCTCCTAACGTCTGTTTTAGTGGAATGAATAGTGTGGAAGATGTACTGAGGAAGGAAGGGAGCTGGGCAGGAGAGCTGCCCTCCCCACCTGAGCCTACCTCTTCTCCGCCCTGTGACCTGTTTTCTCGGGATCACAGGGGCCCTTTTGAATGCCTGGGGTTCCTAGCTATTTTCTCACCCCAAGTTCAGAAGCAAACGGGGCTTAAATGTATGGTACCGGGCATTGGAACCTTCCTCCTCTGCCTTCGGAACCAATGCCCTCCCGGCAATGCTGAGGGGGTCTTGAGGACCTGGCAGGGGGCCAGAGTTTCTGTGTTCCCAGGACAGAAACAGCCTAAGCCAGTGATCCTGAGAGAAGTGGGCGGCCTTCTTCCCCCACATACACTGTCGGTGCTTATTCTCTCCCTTCCTCCCCGCTCCCCTCCTCCACTCCCACCCAAATGCCATAATGAAAAATTCATGTTAAGAGCTTCCCATACGATCTGATTTTCAACACTTTAATGGGATTAATTGAAGCAGGGAGTGTAGTGAGCCCTTCCTCCCCAGGGTCCCCCTACCTACAACTGCCACTCACCCCAACTTGCCCCTTCCCCATACTTCTTTCTCTTTCTAGAATCTTCCTAGACTCGCTGCTTTTGCTGTCTTTTTCTCCCCCATCCGCAGCACCCCTTCTCACTTCCTTCCAGCTCCTTCCCAGATCCTCCTCTTCTCGTGCCCGGCACTTTTTAAACGCCTGTAAAATTTTCTCTCTTTCCCTACGGAGGAGAGAGCAGTTTGATCATCTAAAACCCTGATGAATGGAATGTCTGAAGCTTGGTGAATTGGATGTATCTAAGGAAATTTGACTTTCTTCAGGTCTAGAACATACACTACCCACTAAGAGAGTTACAGGATAATAGCACTCAAAGACTTTAACTGGTAGGAATTAAATAATCAGTATAATGGTTATTAGTGTGCAAACTTGAGGTGACTAACATTTCCCAGACACAATCTGGGCCACCCCATATTTTTATAGCTATAGCTAAGCTGCAGAGGGAAAGGGAAAAAAAATTCCCTAGGCTGTTTCAATGATGCATACTGAGTAGCTGGGAGGTATTCTATCCTGAGCAACAATAATAAAATCCTGTATAGCTGAGAAGTTCTGGACAGGCAGTTACCTGAGTTTCAGTGCCAACAATTCACAGTGACACCTTGTACATGAGGCTTTATTCCTCTCCCTCAGTTATTTCAACTCTACAACCATAGAGGCAGCCTGGATGGTGGGTCCAATTTTTTTACTGTATGCCTCTGTTAATAAAAACACTTTGAGCACTCATCCACATATATAATATGCTTAATTATATTATACATATTACATATATAATACATTATATATAATGTATTATTATATATACATATAATGTGCTATTTGTACCAAGTTATTTTATATATAATGTACTATAATATATGCATATAATGTACTATTTGTACCATATATTATGTATACATATATAATGTACTATAATATATACTATTTGTACCAATATATTATGTATATTATATATATACAATTTTAAAGGATAAGAGAAACATGAAATAAATTTTATTTTTATGTTTTACTAACCATAATGGGTTTAATTTATCATTGGCTAATATTTCAAGGCAACATATTTACTTAGGACAAGACTCTCCGCTGAGAGTTGCTGTAAATCCATATTTCAAGTAGCAAGATAATTTCCATCTGTTTTTGCTGCTGATTTCTTGCCAGATTATTGTTCTTATCTCCTAATGTGGCTGAAAAGAACTCATAAGAGAAATTAGAGGAGTGTCATCTCATCCATTATCATCGTTTTTGCTTACAACACACTATTATCCTATATAATAAAAGGCTAATATGAAAATCGACCAGAGGGACCGGTCGCTATGACATGTACTGACCACCAGGGGGCATAAGCTCAATGCAGGAGTTGCCCCCTTGTGGTCAGTGTGTTCCCACAGGGGGAGCACCGCTCATCCAGAAGCCAGGCTCACGGATGGTGAGCTCAGTAGCAATGGCAGGAGCCTCTCCTGCCTCCATGATAGCACTAAGGATGTCTGACTACTAGCTTAGGCCCACTCCCCGTGGGCCTAAGCCATCAGTCAGACATCCCCCGAGGGTTCCCAAACTGCAAGATGGTGCAGACCGGGCTTAGGGACCTCTCTATCCAAGTGCACAAATTTTGTGCATTGGACCTCTAGTGTTATATAATATTATATTATTCATATTATCTTTAAAACTCAGTTTTTTTTCAGGAATCTTTTTAGGTTTGTGAAGGTAGATATTAGTTATGCCTAGACAATATACTTTGCAAATTGTTATTAATAGGCAAGCACAGGGAAGGATGAGGAGTTTCCTCCTGACTCAGGGATCTCTGCTCACACATCCAGCCTGGTGCACACTGCTCGATGTATGCACTGAGTGAGGGAATAAGAACCACTCTGTGATTAAACATTAATAAGCACTTTTATGTATGTTTTTAGACAGACTGCAAATAGAAAAAAGAAAAAAGAAAAAGTCTACTATTCTCCTCCCACCATCCAGAGGACTGTCTTGGAGCTGCCCTTTAGTGACCACAACAATTCCCTTATCAATAAAGCTTTTTGGCTGAAATCGGTTTGGCTCAATGGATAGAGCGTCGGCTTGGGGACTGAATGGTCCCAGGTTCGATTCCCGTCAAGGGCATTTACCTTGGTTGCGGGCATATCCCCAATAGGGGGTGTGCAAGAGGCAGCTGATCAGTGACTCTCTCTCTCATCGATGTTTCTAACTCTCTATCTCTCTCCCTTCCTCTCTGCACAAAAATCAATAAAATATATTTTAAAAAATAAATAAAGCTTTTTGGGTGAGCAATGGCTGCAAACAGCAGCATGCTTGGTAGTGTATGCAACCTGTTGCTAGTATGGGTTGCCATAAGGGACCTTGGATAGAGCTCTTTCTGGTGGACACTCGTGTCTGAACTCATGCTGCCCTCAATCTAGGCTCCAAACGGGTAGGCAGGGTGCCTTTGGAAAGCCCCAAGGCACAGTGGCCAGAGTCCACATTGGCCAAGTCATCATGTCCATCCGCACCAAGCTGCAGAACAAGGAACATGTAATTGAGGCCCTACACAGAGCCAAGTACCTGGCCGCCAGAAGATCCACATCTTCAAGAAGTGGGGCTTTACTCAGTTTAATGTGGATGAGTTTGAAGACATGGTGGCCGAGAAGCTCCTCATCCCAGATGGCCGTGGAGTCAAATACATCCCTAATCATGGTCCCCTGGACAAATGGGGAGCCCTGCACTCATGAGAGTCTCAGTGCTGCCCCCACCTTACACCCACTAATAAATCAACTTTTCGTCCAAAAAAATAAAAAATAAATAAAGCTCTTTGACTCCCCACTGTCTCAGTAGATGGAATCTCTCTCAGCTCCCCAGTCTTCCTGCTGCTGGTCAACGTTCCCTACGTGTGAGTTGAGCCAAGGTAATGACCCTGCAAAGAGGTGTGCTGCAAAGAGGTGTGCTGCAAAGAGGTGTGCTGTCCGGGGCAAGCAGCACGTGGTGCCCTTAGCCAGAGCTGGGCCAGACTGTGTGGGGATCTGGCTCCAGAAATGATTCTCCACTGCTCTTTCCCCTCTACAACCACTGTGCACAGCAAAGAGTCTCTCCCTTCTCCCTGTATATGAGGCACCCAGTTTTTACTTAGCCAACCCCACTCCTGCTGGGAGAAATGAGGAGACCTCCTCTTGATGTGTATAGGTGTGCATGCAGATGGAACTAGACTGGATTTTCCACCTTGGGCCTTCTATTCAGTTATACTTCTAGAGAGAATAGGTGATTTGACCTGGGTCACAAAGCTACTACATGGCAAAACTAGAATGTGAAGTTGACTGAGGTCTTAACCCCACACTGTTTCCAACTCTCCAAGAGCACAAAGTAACTAGGGTTTGTACATGTATCATGTGTTTCCATATGTGCACATAAATATCCATGTCTATAGAGTCGGACAATACAGTTGATCACACAGTGGATGGTTGCATAAACAACTACAGTGGAAATGCTGACGTGTCCCAGAAAAGTCACAGGTCCCAACAGGGGCTGACACGTGAAGAGCCCTTGGAGCAGGCAGTCTCCTTAGCTCACACATAAGACTAGCTCTTGGTGAATGATAAGAGCACAACCTCCTAGGAAAACTGAAAAGTAAGGCTCAGATTTGACTGCTCAAAACTCCTCTGTCTATCCTCTTTGAAGGGGTAACATTTACTCTGGCCTTGGACAGAAACTTCTGGTTTGGAGGTGAATCAGATTCCTGGTCAAGGTGATTATGACCCAAATACCACTTAAGGACATTCTGCACCAGCTGTCCAAGATCAAGGGAATAAAGTCAGTGAAGAATTCGCAGCCCTTCTGCACCTACTATGTGACTATGTATTTGGCAGTCAAGTGCAAGTTTTAAAGATAAGAGAGCAGAGGAATAGAAGCAGCAAAACAGCGCTCTTCCTTAAGTGCGGTTAATTGGGGGAGAGTGTTTCAAAATAAAAGTCTACACTTCACCCCCTCAGTATGGCCAGTCCTTAGATTAGCCCCACTTTTAGTTATGGGGGAAGGTCTCAGCATCAAGTTAATGAAGGTGACGATGACCATGATGACAATGGTACATCATTTGTTGTGCAAGAATTGTCATACTTTGCATACTTTGTGCATAGAATTGTCATAAATATTTTTCAAACATTACCTCAATTCACCCCATAATCCTTTGAGCTAGCAACTATTATTATCCTCAGATGAGAACACTAAGACTCTGAGGTGCTGGCTGGGGGATTATTCCAAATTCACATTGCTATTGAGGGGTGGAGCTAAGATTTGAATCCAGATCTATCTGGCTCCAAAGGCCACAATCTTAACCACTGCTCTAGGAACCCCAGGTTGGAAACCAAAGAGAGAAGGAGCACCCTCTTATAATGCATTTACCATGAAGTAATGTGACCTAACAAATATTTAAGGCTAGGTATCTGTAGGTGATCATCCATTTATTCAATAATTACCAACTGAACATCTACTAAGTGCCAGGCATTGTTCTAAGTGCTATGGATAAAGCAATGAATACAACAAGTTCCCATTCCCACAAAACTCAGAATATAAAAGGAAAAAATAGACAAATCCACTAATATATAAAATGGCAGGGGATGATAAGCACCATAGGGAGTCAGAGAGTGATGGGGACTGCTCTTTTTGGATGGGTGCTTGAGGAAGACCACTCTGCGTGGGGGCCATTTGAGCAGAGACCTGAAGGAGGGAGGGGTGAATCTCTGCAGAGATCCCGGGAGAAGTGCCTTCCAGGCAGAAGGAACACAAACAGAAAGAACGCACAGTGAGCTCATACTGGAGACCAGGATTGCCCTGCCTTTTAGATCTTCCCTTTTGTTAGTTTGCAGGACCACATCTTTGTGATTTCGCTGTGAGGAAATCAGATGTCTAGATTCAGAGAGGTCTCCCCACGGTTTCACAGCCGAGGAAAAGCAGGTGAGCTTTTATTGTACAATATTTACTCACATGAGCTTATGTATCCTTCCTATGGCTCTGAGAAGCCGGTGTATTAAAGCTATGGTCTGCCGGCTTCAAAGCCTATGCCCTTTCCACCATACCTTGTGAAGTGAACCACATGCCTTCAGACGGATGTAAGTCCTTCCTTCTTAAGAGCTCAGAGCACCTGGAAATCAGAACTTCAGGTCTTCATCCAACTGACACAAGCTGGAAGCCGGTTGGGTGCCAGGCCCATGCTGGGCACTGTGAGGACACAGCGATGAGCATGACAGACACGGCCCCTCCTCCAAAGGATAGCTCTCAACACTCAGCAGAACCAATTCCAAACCACACGTCATCAGTGTGTCATATGCTCTCTTACCCGCCCTCCAGCTGTTCCCTCTGCCTGGAGGCACTTCTCTCATTTTCCCTTCTTAGCTCTGGCAGAGGGAAAAATGAGTCCTGAACCTTAGGCCTCAGCCACTTTGAGCTCCACTGGGGCACAGCATCTGCCACCCACCCCACTCACCCTCCACGCTTCCCTGGGAAGTCTTCCCAGCCAACAGAGCTGGTTTTCAAGCTGAACTCTCCAGTTCTTGCCCACTGACAGAGGTAGAGCAGATGAGATAACCAAGATCCTGTCACTTCTCAACGAACGGAATTCGAGGGGCTCCATAGCGTGGGCAAATCCAACTTGGGCCGGGACCGGTTTGGCTCAGTGGATAGAGCGTCAGCCTGCCGACTGAAAGGTCCCGGGTTCGATTCTGGTCAAGGGCATGTACCTTGGTTGTGGGCATATTCCCGGTAGGGACTGTGCAGGAGGCAGCTGATCTATGATTCTCTCTCATCGATGTTTCTAACTCTCTATCCCTCTCTCTTCCTCTCTGTGAAAAATCAATAAAAATATATATTAAAAAAAATAAAAAAGAAGAAGAAGAAGAATCCAAGATGGGTTTAGGGGATTCAGACAAAGGTCGGGCCAGTTCTCCTTTGATCCAAACAATATGCCTGACAATAAGTCCGCCACACTCCCTGCCTCCAAAGGGAATTAAACTCCATCAAAGGTTGCCAGGAACCCATCTCTCATGTTCTGCCACAGGAGGGATGTAACTTCTAAACCCAGTGGATCTACGGAAGGATCCAAACACAGCCAACCGATGAGACATGAGTCTGACTGGGGGCTGTCAAATCTTATTCAGAAACGGACCTGTCAGCCCACCACTTCCCTCCATCCTGAAAAACTAACCAGGGTGGTTGGAAATGAGACTCGGAGGGATGGCAGAGGGGAAGAGTATTAAATTGCAGCTGAAATCCACCTCCCCCAACCTCAAGGGCTTCTCCTCCAGTGTCAACAAATATGCAACCAATTAATGTAATTGCGGAGTTATTTATGGTGCCCAGCAAAGTGCAGCTGGATACTAAAAGACAAGGGTGGGAGAAGCAGAGGAAAAAAACTCTCTCGGTTTTTGGTGTGCAGTTTTCTGGGTTGGATTTTTTTTTTCTTTTTTTTCTTTTTTCTTTCCTTTTCTTTCAGATGTTTCAGTCAACTTGTGGTATCCATGTGTCTGGTGGTCATGGCCCCTTCCAGTCAGTTTGCAGGTGTTCCTGCCTGGGGGGATGGAGAGAAAGGGAGGGGGAGACTCGAGGGAAAAAGCTAAAGGTCTTCAGATTTCAAACTGTGACCTGTCATAGAAGACTTTTTCAAGGCTCCCCACTCTGACTGCACCCCTGCCTTCATCCTCTCCACTGACCTTTTCCCTAATAACCACCACCCAAAATTGCACATAGAGACTTTTTTTCCATAGCTCTGTTACACGATTGTGTGGAATGACAGCTGTGTTGCCATTCAGCACCCCACACACAAGACAGGTTTTAATTAGAGTTATTGAGGGGTTTGAATTGGTACAATTAGGGCCAGCATTAATGAGGTCTCCATGTGTTCTTTTGAACAGTTGGGCCCTACAGGGGAGGAGGGAGTTGCAACTAATGAAGTTGGAGAGCGCAAATTATCTGAGCAAAAGGAGGGCAAGTGTGAGCCGCCCAGGGGAGGGGCATGCAAAGAAAAGAAAGGGGTTACATGTGGTGGAGGCACACACATGTTTGTACATACTTATTTTTGTGTCTTCCTTTCTCAATATGGTCTTTTGAGAAGGAAATCCTGGCCACCAAATATGTATCGTTGGCTAAGAGAGGAAAGAGAAAAGGTGTGTATCTTATGTCAAACTAAAGCTAACAAAGATTGTGTATGTGTGTGTACGTGTGTGTGTGTGTGTGTGTGTGTGTGTTATACTTGCTCCAATTATGGACATATTAGAGGAAGAGCAAAATACAAAGACAAACTCCAATTACCAAATGTCCTAACCCTTCATTATCTGAAATGTTGATTGCTCTGTACTATCCCAATTTCCCAAGTCCTTTCTTTCCAGATGTCT